TCCTGGAAACACATTGCAATATTTTGGGTCCTTATTGTTGTATTAAAAGGCCTGCTTGAATTAAAGTAGAGCCGCCACCCCCTCTTTTAGTGCGTGGCATGTGTGCACATGGTGGACAGGGGCAGAATAGAAGATTGGAGGGCAGGCAAATTTCTCAGCAAGATTTAGGAATATGTATTTTACCTTACCTTCCTTTACATGAAGTGGCTCATGGGATTGTATAGCTATAAAATCCCATTAGCCACTTCATGGAAAAGTGCTGCTGCCACAAGTATGTTTACTAGCCCTAGAATCTGTGGGAACAGGTCCACACTAGTAAAAGTGGCTGGAAGGCTGCAGAGAGCCTTCCTCCTGTGGCTAGTGGCAGCAAGCATAAAGCACAGTCCTTGCATGCCTAGCTTGCAGCCTGCAAGGCCACCTTAAGGACTTTCAGCAATGGATACTGCCGTCAGAATCACAACGGAATCGCACTTTCCACACTCCAAGGTGCTTTCGTGTCTCTTCTGCATAAAAGCCACTTCTTTTCTCAGTACCCTTTGGAGCTGATTCTCAACTAGCTTTGAATCCAACACATGGCAGTTATGTTGTTGCCAACATAAAGTGAAATGCCTTAACAAAACACTGTTTTTGGTTTTACACGTAATGACATTTTCATCCTTGCATATTTACACAAAAAAGGCCATTCTGATTAATCAAGTAGCAAACCACACCCATATACCCAAATAATAGTTTATTGTAAGCCACCCTGATAATGTATTTGAAGGATGGAGTGTCACGCTAAATAATAAATAAAACAAATAAGTATGACCCTATATGGCTGACATAAAATGAAATTCAAATCATAGAAGACACAGCCCAGAACCCTGGAAAATAAGTCTAGCATATTTTCCAACTTTATTCAGAGAGGTTTTGTTCTATGCAGCCTAACCCTCTGCACATTTGCTCAGAAGTAAATCCTATTTGTTTTTAATATGCTTTATCCACAGGTGTGCTGTGTAGGATTACAGCTCTGCGGTGTAACTCGAAGGGTGTGATCCTATGCATGTTTAGGCAGAAAAATGTCTACAACTCTGGGCATTCACCAGTCAACGCTGCTATCTGGCAAATGGGAGGAGCTGTAGGAATTTTTCTGCTGAAACTGGCATAGGATTTTGCCCCAAGCCTCTTTATTCTAATGTACTCTAATGCACTGAGTTTAGTGGGGCAAACAGCCCAGTAGTATGTGTTCAATCCTATGCATACTTCCTTGGGAGTAAGCTTCATTGGACACTGCCATGTTTCCTTCTGAGTAAACATGCATAGGCTTGTGCTGTTAGTCAACTGTAACAGCCTCAAAAAGTCTGCTGATTATGCTTGTATTTGTACAGGCAGTGGAATGGCAAGGCTGCGACCCGATAACCACGTGGCCTGGGAATATGGCCCACTGAACTCGGTGGGACTTGCTGCTGAACAGACATGGATAGGATTGTGCTGTTAGTCTGACTATCCGGTACTATTTTGTAGATTCTCATTCCTTAAGTGGTCCCCAGGAATTGAAAAAGGAAGGATTCCAGTTCCCACATCTTTAAGAAGGAATATAGTTATAGTTAACTGGAAACTGTAGATTTTCAGCACTATCATAGCATACAATTGTAGTATATATCTTAATAATATAAGAGACTTTAAATCTGAAGCATATCAAGTAATACTCTCTATAATGTTTATCATTTATTCTAGACCGGAGCTGACTTGCAACATGAATATAATAAACATTAATTTTATTTTCCTTGCCCAAATTAAATGTACAATACATGAGAAGCATGGCTTATTATTTGCCATTATTGATTGAATCTTTCTTGTACAAAAGAAACTGAATATATTGCACTTAAAAAACTTGACTGGTGAACAGGTAACATTTTATCAGAGTTAGCAGAAGGCATCTGGTTTACATTTTAAATATTGTTCTTTGGAACAAAAGTGGAACAAATGGGGACGTACAGTCAAAGGCATATAGTCTGCATATTACTACAACTGCATGAACAACATGCAATTTAGAATATGACTTACTCACAAGAGCCAAATTTGCCCTTTATGAGTTGTGCCTTTCTTGTATTAAGAGTACAATGGAAGTAAAATAAAGATTATTATGGATTTCTTCAACTAAAAAGAAAGCACTTTTCTGCATGGGAAGTTAGCTTCCCTTTCAGGAATTTCGCATATTGGAGTGGGCAACTTGTGGCCCTCCAGAAGTTGGACCATAAACCCTATCATCTTCACCACTGCTATGCTGCTTGCAGCTGATGGGAGCTGGTGGTCCAACAACTTCAAAGCAAGTACACACTTGTTGTTGCATGATTGTTGGAGTTGTGTGCATTGATGTGTGCTTTTATAATATAACATAGAAAAATGCCTGTCTGTTACTTCAATGTTTTTTGCAAGGGACTGAAACAGAATGCCTAATGAAGTACCGCTAACAAAAGTCTAAAAATGGTTTAAGATTTACTAGGATTTATGTTCAAATAATATTTGATGCACTAGACTGTACATTTCATAGGCATGAACTCTTCCAAACAGTTTATCTCTGTGTGTAGCGTATGGTGGGAAATCAAATATAGATGAGCTTATTACTATCACTCCCTGATCTACATTGGATTACTCAAAGGAGAAATTCACGTGTTTCGGCAACATCTGTCAAATAAAGTGAATTAAACGCAGTAGCAGCCATAACAGGGATGTGGCCGGAGGAGGGAGAGGGGGAGGAAGGAAAGACCTCTTTCCAATCTGCAGTCTCTAGGAAATGCATACTCTTTTCCTTGGCTTTCATGTGGTTACTTCTCATTAGCAGCTCCACTTGAAATAAAATCTCATTTTTAAAGATGCTTATACTTCGCCTTTAAATAGAACAATAAGCAGCATTAATATTGTACACTACTCAGGAATCAGCTCTTTCCACATACATAAATTTGAGCATCTGGGGGAAGGTTATATCCTAATTATTACAGAATATTAGTTTATCATCATCATCATTTTTTTGTTTTATTTTTTTGCATTTTTAATGATATACATTCTTCTTGGTTTTTGTTTTTGTTTTTGCTTCCAAATGCAATTTAAGGCTATTTGGTAAAATCTACACAAGAAATCAGGCTCAATTTACAGTATTTCCTCCTTTCTCAAACATTCAACTCTAGTTTCATATCTTGAAGCTAAACATGCTTATATCAGCTTTGCCTAAAACAGAATGCATGCGTAACAAAATACATTGGAGGAAATGGGGAAGGGGACAGGATGAGAAAACCCGAATCAGATCTGCTTAGCCTCCTATAACTTCTAGCATTTAAGTCACATGACAGGCTGAAGGGCTTGCAAAGTACATATTTAAAGTGCTCATCAAGGTGAAGAACCAAAGTGCTGTAGTTTAAGTAGCTGTTCTGTCTATGGCTAAATACATATCATTCAAATAAGACTAATAACATAAATTTGTTTCATGGATTTCATTCAGTTTTGATCTCTTATATTAATCAGAATCCTGATTTCAGTAATAGTGGGATAGGTTTTCTTGCGTCTTCACCTGAAGACATTCAAAAATGAGGCTCATAACCTTTGAGAAGGTAGATAACAGTAGAATAACGTTAGTACAGTTTCATTCCCGGCTGTATTATTTCTAGCATTTGCCTTGGTATTAGTCAAGGGCTAGGAAATGTACTGCTTTCCTTACATTCCACAGCTAGAAGTCACACACCTCTTGAAATCATGCTTTTAAAATTTGAAACAATCAAAAGAACTTTCCTTATCTTTAATTAATACTGCATAGGAAAAAAGAATTCTGAAAAAAATTACAAATGTAAACCACAGTTCACCTTTTAACCTTAAGATTACCATTTAAACTGAGATATACTTACCACTCACATTCATATTTCTTAAACTGGTTACAACATCACAACTGGTATTTTAAACAAGCAAAAGTTTTTTTTTTATTTTGTATTTTGTTTTGATCTAAAGGATACCCTGGAAAATCAATTGATATAGCATTTTGAAACTTCAAATATTACATGTAGCATCGCTTTTGATTTTTTTTTAAGTGTAACTTAAATAACTACAACATAAAATAACCGTTTAAAATGTAATGAATGTTCCAAAGGAGTAAATAGAACTTTTCACATCTTGCTACAGATCTAAATTCTTAAGGCTTCCTGTTTTCCTTTTGACTCAAGTCCATATACATTTTCTCTTCCACTTCTGCATGCTAGTCCAACAGATGTTTCGTTCTGGGCTGGACTTCCCCAATAGGAAAGGATTTCCTTGCTTCTTTGTTCCTGATGAAGGTTGGAGTTTAATGGCTGGCTATCCCTGTTCATCTCCAAAAACTCAACATGATTACAATAGACCTAGTGTTGCAATAACACAGATGAGCAGAATTGCAGAGCATATGGGCAGAAATTTTTGCCAGGTGCAAGGCAAGGAAACTAGGGGTCAGAGAGAGAGAGAGAGAGAGAGAGAGAGAGAGAGAGAGAGAGAGAGAGATATTGGGAGAGATCAAAATGGGTTCTTTCTTTCTTGCACTTTACGTTTGTAGCACCTTCTACTTGGATTAGCTAATGCCTCTGGTGAATGGAGAGATGCACCCATTTGAAAGTTTGTTATTCTTATCCCTAGTTATCACATCATTTATAAAAATATAAATAACAAAAAAGTAAGCTGGGTTCCATCTCAAGAGGTGTTTCTTGTTGTCCTCTGAGAACATATTGGATAAGTAAGGTCTCAACAAGCCCTATCCATTGGAGCTGATTGTTTATTCTGGTAATAAGTACAAAAACAAAAAAGTAGTAGTTCTTTCAATGGGCTCAACAAATTCGGAGGAAATCAAAAGCATTCCGCTGTGCATATTGCACAAAGGACACAACACCACGGGCCATTCAGTGGGGGGACATGTGACAAAAAATGAGCAGGGAGGTGACCAACTGTGCAAGCATTTTGCTTTTGCTTTAAAAAAAAGATGAAGAAACTATGCAGCATTCTGGTCTTTAAAGCCTTGTTTGGGCCTCTGGGATATATATCTCAATGCTGTCTGCACGCTCGGTGGCTGAATTCTGCCGAAAAGAGGCTGCTCTCTTTGCAGCCATTAGCCGTCTTCGAGCTTCTTGACGTTGTCTGTCGGGCAGGTCTAGAGACTTTTCTCTTGTAATAGGGAATTTTCCTTTTGGGGGCTTCTTTGGTACAGGAGGAGGAACCTTTCTTTCTTCCTAGAAGTAATGTTAAAGAAGTGAATGAATTAGAGATGGGTGCACATAAAGCATTTTCACGGGGTCAGTTCAGGCATTTATCCATTCTTCATAGGTTCCCAGGAAGGCAGCTGCATGGAAGCAATAATGCCTGCAGCTAGGGATCCCAGAGAAGACTTTTGGATGATTGGCAGCTGAAAAATATTATGGCTGTACATGCACTTAAACTAAATCTGCCTTTAAAGACACAATATTCGCTCCTTGATTTGCCACAGAAGTAGCAGCCACAAAAGCTTCTCTTTTATCTCTGGACAGGTTCCCAAATAAGCACAAAGAGGGCTCCAGTTATTAAAGTCTGTGGGGGATTTTATCCAGAGATTTTAATCACACTATAAACTGTCTTACACTGCAAACCAGACCAATGTGTACTTGTAACCCTGTGAAAATTTAGGTGGGGAATTTTATCTTTGGGAACAGAGACTGCATCCAGAATATGTTATGAATGCTTAACTTGTACTGAACTCAGTGCAAGAGAAAGAGAGACAGAGAGAGAGAGAGAGAGAAAGAGAATGAGGGGGGCATATTTGAAGCTCTCCCATTGTAAACAACAGGACTTAGAAGTGCCCACCTTCAATTATGGGGTCCCAGATTTCATTAAACATTCTTTAGTTGAGCAGTGTAGGACAGGAATTTTAATTAAACCAATTCTACTATGTTTGGCTCTCCGCTGAATATGAGATAGTATCTGTGTGCACATCTCTATTCTCCCTTACATGATTTGCTCATGGTAATGCTCAAGTATTTGTCAGCCTATCAATTGATTGGATAGCTACCCCAAGAAGAGTTTTCTGTGTCCAGGATTCATCCCATAATTTATTTGCAGTGGTGGAAGGTTGTGTTTAACACAGTTAGCAACATGTTCAGGCTGCAAATCTAAATAAATTTCAGGCCTTAATAATGCCCACATCAGAATGCCCCATCCACATCCATACCCATGTCTCCTAGGCTAAGATCACATGCATGCATGGGCATGCTATCCTTACCTAGTCTTGGAGTTTTTTGCTGATCTGAAAGTTCTAAGAAGTGTGTGTTCAATATTTATTCAATATTTCAACTGCTGTGTATGGAGTAAATGAAGAATTATAAATAGAAATGCCATTAGGCCTCCATTAAACTAATTCCATGCCTTTCTTGTTCTTGATAGCATATAGTCTGGTTCCAAAATGGTCCCTCAAAGTATCCTGATACTTTGCGGAGGCTGACACTATGTGGACAGCAGATGTCATGTGTGATTCTTCCTGCATGCTCATCCCTTAAGATATGTTTTATTGAATCAAAGCATCTTTGATTCTCTTAAACAAGCTCCACCACTAAAAACTGCCACTTGAAAGACTTTGGGCCAGCGTTAGTGAGCCATGTTGTGCTTTCCACTTTAGAACTGGACCTCCTCATTTCTAATGTGTGATGTCCAGTATCTAGCTCAACAGGGAGTATTAGCAGGCTTGGAAATCTGTAGGATACAACACAGGAAGACTGTCAATGCAGACAGGAAATGAATCGTTCTGCCCACATTCTTTTTACCTTCCTTTCAGGTGATTCTATTATTTTCCATTCATTCAGTTTCAGCTGGTGCAATTCGTCAAACTTCATACTGACGTCTTCAATTGAAAGCTGTAACAAGTCCCAGAATCCTGCTAGGTCCTGTGAAGTTGGCCGTGGCATAGCACTGGGGTCCTGACATCAAAGAAGGGGTCATGAATTTGAGAGCCAGGTCATGCAGTATATTTGACATAACAATTTTTTTGCTAGAAAACAGCTGCTTCCCACAACAACACAGAAGATTGCATTTTGCAGATCCTTCTATCTTGGCTGAGTAGACACCATGATATGAACAAGATATCCGCATGATACATATTTCACAGGAGAATGGCTTTCCCATTAAATGAAATGCAAGATCTAGTCTTGGAAGAGCAAATTGAAAAGCAGAAGCTGGGTTTTTTTAATAGAGAAAATCTAGAAAAAGCTTCCAGTAAAGAACCTGTTAAAAATGTCCTGCAGATTTTCCTTGCTCCTGATAATCTATATTCACAATCTCTCTCTTTCCTTCCTAACAAAACATTTGCCTTAGAATGGATCCATATGTGATTCTTGTTTCACTGTTTTGGAATACTTGGTTAAGGCTTTCCAACTAAAAGGAATTTTGCTGCTCTTGTTGGTTGGAAATAACTTTGTCATTCAGTAGAAGAAGAGGAGGACATTTTAGAATGGACAATGCTCTAAGTCACATTCATTCATTCATTCATTCATTCATTCATTTCATTTATATGATGGCCAATAGCCAAGGCTCTCTGGGCAGTTAAAAAAGTTAAAATTAAAGAAAAGTTAAAATGACAAACACAACAATAAAATTAAAAGAATAAAATCATAATTGCAATTGCCATTATTCAGCACAGAAGCACAACAGTGGTACAGAAATAAAATGGGACATATAAAAACAAAATGTAAAAAGTTAGATGGTTAAAATGCTGGGAATATAAAAAAGTCTTCACCTGGTGGCAAAAGAATACAACATAGGCACCAGGTGCATATCTTTGGGGAGCTTATTCCGAAACCAGGATGCCACAACCAAAAAGGCCCTCCTCCTGATAGCTTCCAACTTCACTTCCTTTAAAAGGGGCTCCTGGAGAAGGACCCCTGAAGATGACCTCAGGATCTGCGTAGGTTTAGATATGACAGGACAGTCCTCCAGATATGCTGGCACCAGAGCATGCAGGGCTTTGGACGTCAATACTAGCACTTTGAATTGGGCCCAGACTTCAACTGGGAGCCAGTGCAGCTGAAAAAGGACTGCCATGTTGTGAACTCACGAGCCAGTCTCCATTAACAGTCTTGCTGCCATGTTTTGGATCAGTTGAAGTTTCTGGACTGTTTTCAAAGGCAGCCCCAGCTACAGTGCATTGTCGTAATCCAAACGAGGGTATCAGAGCACGGATAACTGTAGCTTGGCTCTCTCTGTCCAAATGGGGTGGTACCTGGTACATCAGTTGAAGCTGATAAAAGTTGTTCTGTGCCAGAGTCCATTAGTGCCTCCAGTGACAACTCTGGTCCAAGAGCACTGTCCAACTAGGAGCCTTGTCCTTTAGGGCAAGTGCAACCCCATCCAGAACAGGTCAAATATCACCCAACTGGACAGATGAACCATCCATTAACAACACCTCCATCTTGCCTGGATTGAGCCCAAGCTTGTTGGCCCTCATCCAATCCATGATCATCACTGCCTCACCTGGCCTGGATGAAAAAGAGAGGTAGAGCTGCATGTCATCTGCATATTGGTGACACCTCAACCCATACCTTTGGATAACTTCACCCAGTGGTTTCATGTAGATGTTAAATAGCATGGGGGATAAATTAGAACCCTTTGGTACTCCTTGGCCTAACTGCAATGGGGCAGAGCAATGATCCCCTAGCACCCCATTCTGGAATTGGCTGGTCAAGTAGAAGTGGACCCACTGCAATGCAGTGCCTCCCATTTGCAGATCAGACAGCCTATCCAGCATACCCATGGCTTATGGTATCAAGCCATTGAGAGGGCCGGGAGAATCAACAGGGTTGTGCTCCCGGCAAAGTTAATCCTACATGGCGACCAAGCTAGTTTCTATTCCAAAACCAGGCCTGGAGCCTGCTTAAAATTACTCTAGATAACCTGTTTCATTCAAGAGTGCCTGAAGCTGTTCAGTCACTGCCCACTCAAGCACCTTGCACAGGAAGGCTATGTTGGCAACTGGCCTATAATTAACATTTCTGGGACCAGGTTAGGCTTTTTAGGGAGTGGCTTAATTACAGCCTCTTTTAGAGAGGTTGCCACCATGCCACCTCTCAAGGAGGCATAGAAATGCAGGTAGAAATCCCTGCCTTAGTTGCTGTAATGAGTCATGAGAGCAAAGGGTTGCGCTCAAAAGTGGTGGGTTGGACATGACAAGCACCTTGTTCACATCCTCAGACTTCAATTCCTAAAGCTTATCCAGAAAATCTGGACCAGAAAGTGATCTGGATGCCTCTGCTAGTGGAACTGTGCCAATTGTGGTGCTCAACTCATGTTGAATCTCAGCAACTTTATCTTCAAAGTGCTGTGCAGATTCATTGCAGTGAGTTACCAAGGGCTCTGCATCTTCTTTTTCTGGACCAGAATATATTAGGCCATTAACCCCTCAGAAAAGTTCTGCTGGACAACACTGAGAAGATGCAATGTTGGTGGAAAAGAACTGCCTCTTTGCCACCCACTCACCACCAGAGAGTAGACTCAATAATGAGCTCTAATCCATGTTCAGTCAGACTCAGCAGGAGTTTCCCCCCACCTGTGCTATAGCCACCTCCCCTCTTGCTTCATTGCCGTCAACTCAGGTGTGTACCAAGGAGCTGGCTGGGCTCTGCTCAGGTAGTCGTGTCAATTGCCTGAGCCATCTCTGCATTCCACTAAGTGACTTGGCCTTTGGCAGAAGAGTCAGCCATACTCATGGGAAACTCTTCTGGAAACCATCAAGATCCATTAGCCTCTGGGGGTGAACCATTTTAAAAGGTCTTCCACCCTTGCAGAAAGGAAAGGGAGCAGAAATTCCAAAACTCAGTAGGAAATGATCTGACCACAACAAGGGGGTTGATATTAATTCCCCCCACTTCCAGATCACCATCCTTCTGCCCAATCCAAAAAACCAGATCAAGGATTTGTCCTTTTACATGTGCTGGGCCAATAACATGTTGAGGCAGTCACATGGTTGTCATGGTGGCCAATAAGTCCTGAGCCACCCCAGATACAGTGGTCCCAGTATGGAAGTTAAATCCCCCAGAACTGGCATTCTAGGAGCCCTCAACACCAAATCTGAGATCACCTCCATCGGCCCAGGCAGAGAATCTGATGGGCAGCAGGGTGGGCAGTGCACCAGTAGAAACTCTATTCTGTCTTGAGCACCCAACACAAAGTACCATCACTGAAGACCCACACATGAGTGAACAGGAAGGAACAGGAGGAAAATCATATGCCTATAGACCATGGCTGCCACCCGCTTCTGTGGCCCTCAAGCCAATGCTGGTGCTGCACCAAATGCTTAGAGGGTACAGCTGTGAGAGAACAACCCTCCCCAGCTCACCTACCCAGGTCTCAGTGATGCAAGCCAGATCAGCCGCCTCATCCACAAGCAAGTCATCAGTGAAGGAGGACTTACTCTGGGCTGACCTGGCATTCAGCAGCACCAGACCAAAGGGCAAGCTGGTAAGGCTGCTGCTAGGAAACATCTGGTTGGAGGAAAAACTGGAAGAGGGGATATCTGTAACTATCCCCTCTTCTCCTCAGCTGGCTTGTCAGTCCCCTGACACCATACCCTCCCCTACCCATGACCACAGTAATAGGGCATCCACTGGCTTCCCAAAGGTACCCAAACACATAATTAAAATAGATATGGCAAAAACAGCAAACAAAGCAGCTGCTATGCTTCTAAGCTAATCAATGGCAATTTTCGTGAGACTGGCCTCCTCCCATGCCAACCCGGAGCAGTCCGAAGTGGTTCCCGAACGAGTACCAAATGGACCCTTTGGTACCACCATTTAAGGCCACTGCCTCGGTCCTCAGTTCCTGCTGGTGGTGACAGCCCCACATCTGGAGCACAGCTGCTGCCTCTCCAGCCAGGGACAGTGGCCACTCCATACGGAGGGCAGGCTGGCAGGGCAGGGGAGGCAGTCCTCTCACCCTGCCTCAGTCTTTGCTCCCTGAGTAGGCCCTGTACTTCAGCCACAAAGTTAATATTGTTAATTGTGTATTTCAGTGAAGACTATGTCAAAGTACATACGGTGTGCCAGACCTCTGGTGGTGGAAATACAATCAGTTCTGTTTACTGCAAAAGACATTTCGGGTGCAGGTTTTGACAGAAAAAGTCCTAGGATTCCCCAACCAGCATAGTGCCCTTAATCATTTGCAGCACTGAATAGATGTTTGACAATTTGTGGGACTGCCTAACTGGCCAAAGGTCATATTTGATATATTGTGTACACATGTTCATTTTTCAGTCGCGCTACATAGTCTCAACACGCAGGCTTTAAAAGTGTGTGCAGTCCTGGAGAATGGGGTGGCCCATTGTAGTTTTCCATTCTATCTTGATTTAAGCTGATCACCTTTCCTTTGTGATCCAGTCAGAAATAGCAAGTTTAGCAGACGTAATCTCTAGTGTTGCTCTTTTATTGACGGAGCTTGCTTTACAGTCTCTGAGCCACAAGAGGGCTGTCTTCTGCTGCTGAAATGTATATTATCTCCACCCCAATAACATCTGCCTCCAAAAGAGTAAGAAGCAGAGCTACTTCATCTTTGGGCATCTTTAATTTGATCTTACTCAGAAGCGTATGTATCTTTTTAAAAGCCGCCACAACAGAGAACATCATTTCTAAACATATTGATTATGTCTGGTGGGGAAATAGCTAACAAAAAGGGCATAGGGGATGTTTGCACATCTGTACTGGCCTATCATCACATTGCCTTGAGGTGTGGACTCATCAGAATTCAGGTGCTAACAACATCCATCTCTGGTAGGTACCTGCATGAGCAAATACTCCACACAAGTATAACACAGTATGCAATTCTTTAAAAGCGTATAAAACTAGAAAATCTCTGGCCTTATTCATGCATGTTTGACATGCTTTTATGTGCTGTTAACTTGTCTCCAACTTATGGTGATCCTATGAATGGATGTCCTCCAAAATGCCCAGTCCTTCATGGCCCTGCTAAGCTCTTGTAAATGTGTGTGACCATGCTAGTACAAATAGTGCACCAAATTAACTTTTCAAATTAATCAGTGATTTTTCATTCTTACATTCCATTAATGTTGAAACTCTGTAGTACTTCAGATTCTATAAATATAAATCAAATGAGAAGATTGTCTAGACTGAGATAAAGTGGGGTCAGATAAACAAGTCTGCCACTGGAAAATGAGTTTAGCATCACCACGCTGTCGGATTTGTAGACAATCATGTGAGGCCTCTGTGTGATTGATGCCAAAGCCCTCCCTCTTTTGGTGAGTTCTACAAAAACTGACTTGTGGAAACATGGCAGCCTGAGGGCCATCCAAGTATTGAGCTTCTACAATGGCCAGCTGCTGCCGGTAGATTATTGGCACAGCTATTATTTTTCTAAACCGTGATTGTTAAAGTTGTACAATTAAACAAGCTCAAAACATCCATCATCCCACTCAGTTATGTGACAATTATTTAAAAGCTGTCTAAATATTACTGCATAGTAACATTAATGTCTATAGCAGTGGTGCCTATAACCATAGAGAGAGGTAGTGCCTGTAGGTCACAATCTGTATGATTCCTTCAACAGTAAAGGAGTGGTTTCCTATAAATGATAGCAGTGGTGGGCAGAGGGAGGCTCCCATAACAGGTAATGGAAAAAAAAATAAACTATTGATTCAATATGTTATTTTACAGGGATGAGTAGGATAGGCTGCTGTCAATCCCAGGTAATATGGCAGTGTGTAGTGAGCATAGCTATGCTTTATTTATTTTTATTTATTTATTTTTGGATTTATATCCTGCCTTTTTCCTACAAAGGGCTCAAGGCAGCTTACATCATTCTCCTCCTCCATCTTATCCCCACAACAACAACCCTGTGAGATAGGTTGGGCTGAGTCTGTGACTGGCCCAAAGTCACCCAGTTGGCTCCATGGCCGAGCAGGGACCAGAACCCAGATCGCCTGAGTCCCAGTCCCAGCTCATAACCACTACACCACACTGGCTCTCCAACTTTTCCTTAAAAATCTCACAATTGCAAATTAGTTTCAGTACTGTTGGTGTTTGGCTCACCATTAAGCATGGAAAATGTATTCCAGTTCTCAACATGTAATGAAGAAAGGTGTAGTGGACTGCATTGTGATAATGTTTCCACTGCTAACTGCATGGAGGAATGAGTCTTCCAAAAGAGTTAATGGAGATAAAAGGTGTTGTATACAAGGATACAGAGTAGGAAGAGAAACTCTGCTATTAGTTCTCTGGAATGAACATGCTGCATCTGCACACCTTCTCTGGTGCCTTAAGAGAAGGTGGAAAGGAGCGGATCCACAAAGGATTTTTTAAAAAGTAAAAACATAGGGTTCTATCCAATGGTGGTTTGACATCTCAGAAAGAGTTTCTAGAAGTTGGGCTTCTAGGTTTCTCAGTGGTTCTCCCCTATTTATTTAACCTTCCATCCCTCCAAAAGCTGAACTGGGAGCTGCTGTAGATGGGAAAGATGGGGTGAAAGCGGGATGTCCTGGAGGGTGCAAATGGAAGCACTTTCCACTATGGCGAAACTGCTGTTGGATACAAACCCTTAGCTTATAGTTATTCATTTTTAAGTTGTATTAAAAACTGCTCTCTATCTAAATGACTTCTGCATGGTGAGCAGTCAAAGAAAAAACCTAGTCCAGATGCAACATAATACAAATATTGACATTCAAGGAATGCATCTTCCTCATTTGCTGGTCATTCAGGACAACTTTACTTAGATAAGCCTGTCTTCAGAAAGCTCCCCAAAACAAACAGTGTTAGTGGCTGCCTGACATTGACGCTTCAATGTTTTCTATGGGAGGGAAGGAATCAAGAGAGGCTGCTGACGCCAATGTCTGTGAGGCAGAGCAGCAGCTCCAGGCAACAGCCTGAACTTTAAGGAGCTGTCCATAGTGCTGGACCTGTTTTGGGAACAGGGTTCAGCACTGTGGGCATCTCTTTTAAAGGGCAGAGTAAAATGAAGAGAGGATGCACCACCCCACTGTGTTTAGCGTCCTGGGTGGACAGTGATGGTAGCACAACTCCCTACAACATTAACTAAATCAGTGCAAACTCATGCAAATGCCTGAGTAACTGCAGCACACAGCTTTTCCAAATGCATTTCAAACATGTTTTTCAAAACACTTGGTTGATCTAACCTTATTGGCTAACAAGTCTCAAATAGGCATGCACAGAACGAATGCCTTGTCAAGCTGTTAAAGGTTAAGCTGTAAATATTACAGAATGATTGATTTTAAGTAAGACAGATTTATAGGTCACATCCTGTAACGTCAACTCCAAATTTATTTCTTTCTTTCCTTCTAATAGGGAAAGTAAATGTAACAGGAAATGCTGTCCTATCTTGCAGTGTGTCCCAACAGAAGCTTCCCTCATAGCTAATTTAGCAGTTAAACAACATGATAGGAAAATATATCCAAGAAGAAATCAGTGGTGGCTGGGGTCCCCAACTCTGTGCTGGATTATACCACCCAAACCAATGCTGCCTGCCATTTGGACTAGCAGCCATCAGTTTAGGATTTGTTCAGTCCATGTTGAATGTGCAGGTTTATCAGCATGCCACAGGAACGGGCCCATTAGCCGGGAATGGTCCAAAGTCCCCAAGGAGCTTTTGGACTTGAATTATCTGCACAAAGTGCTGCTCACCTTTGAGGCAAAGGAACTTTCAAAAGTAGACTGTGATATAGCTGGGGACCTGGCTGTTCAGAGCAATCCCAGTAACAGCCCTAAGGTCATGTTGAGTCCTCTGACTATACTCCATAAGAGCTCTTCAGATTCCTACTTCTGTCTAGATCAGGGGCCTCAAACTCGGGGCCCGCGGGCTGATTGCTGGGAGGGGTGGGGCACGGGGAGGGGCCCTGTGGCCTTCAAAGCGCCGGTGGCGCCCGGGCCGGCCATGGGATGAGCGGCCCACCACCACCGCGGGGGTGAAGTACTTGATGCGGCCCAGCCTCACCCAGACTCTACTTCCAGCGGCCCCCAGGTCAGTTGAGTTTGAGACCCCTGCTCTAGATCATGTTCATATGTCACTTTCTAGCTGATATCCACATATTTCATGTTATTCCCGGACTTCTAATCAATGAATAGCACTTTAAAAGGGTCAGTACATGGATAGTGATGTATACAACCCTAACTCATCGAGGTAGCAAGAATGATGGATTCAACCCAGTCTTAAGGGGCTTTCCCAATAGACAAGTTTACTGTAGATAGAATATGGATTTCAAAAAAATGTTCTGTGTGTGTGTGTCATTTAAAAGATCATTTGGCTGCCTTTTAGAACTATGCCTTCACAAGGTGAATTGCAATACATAAAGCTCAAAACACCCCCAAAAGTCAAAATATCCAAATGTTACAAATGATCATTCCAGTTGTATTCTTATCATATTTTCATCTCATTTAAGGTGCTTCTAGACTGACAGCTCATAGCATTACCACAGCTCTTTTGTCTTGCAAATTTTCTACGGTATGACAAAAGATGTACTTTTAAAATGTTGTGATCCCTGTTGTAAGTTAAGATGCCTTGAGGGGTTTTTTTTGAAAAGATGACCATGATGATGATGATTATAAATAATGTTGATGGTGGTAATCTTGGGAGAGTCCTGAACAGAAGATGCAAACCTCTTATAAAATGCTGTGCAATTTTATAAGATGATGATGCTGTGCAATTTTAAATGCTGTGCAATTTTATAAGGTGATTTCGCAATAAAAACCTCATCTGGAGGCACCCTCATTTACACATCAAGCTCTCATGGCAGATCATGCAGCAATTTTGTGAATCGCCCCAAATGGGTCAGCAGGTCTCACAGCTGAATTTGAGCCTGCACAGCCAAACCAAACTCTGTAGCTATTACACAGGCATTTATTCTACAGGGAAGTGAAATAATTTCCAACGGATATTGCACAGCAGCGTGCTCAGCAGAGTGTGATAGAAACCTACAAAAAGGTTATGTACAGTTCTTTATGTAGTTGTAATTGCCAAAGGAGTGCCTAGCATTTAACAAGGTTACAGACAACATTTTTGATAGGACAGTAAGTAACTTCGCATCTACTGAAAAATGTTTGAGAACGTTGACTTACCAGATTCTGTTGACATAGCCAATAGAATTGCTGGAATTTTTGAGACATAAGTAGCTGAGCACTTCCTACGGCACTCCGGATCTTACCTAGAACTGAACAGGCAGGGTGATTACCATCCATTCTGTGTTTTTGTGAAGGCAAAAAGAAAGCACACATATTTATGTGAAAGAAATGTTAAGCTGGAAAACCCCATCATTTCGTCATTGTAGTAACTATTCAATTAGTTCTGAAAGCTCTTCGTTGTCAAACTGTGTTCAAGGAGGACGGAAACTTAGGAGAGCAGATTAATCTTTCAGAACATTAAACAGTATTAGGAGAGGGGGAAAAGCTTTAGCAAAAGAATGTAAATAATGTTCTCCACTGCTGAAAGAAAATAAGTGAAGGCACATGACAGACTAGGGCTAGGCAGTGTTGCTGTTTTCACCGGGAAAGCATCCTTTGTCACCTGGGTAGCTTTTGCACTGGCTGCTTTTGGACTGGAATTTTTATTCTTCCTTCACGTATTTACGGGAACACCCACACAGTATCATCATGAGCCCATTGTACACCAGTATTTCCCGATTAATTCTACCACATTGGTTTCAGATTTTTTAAAAACTTCAAATGGAAATGCAGCACGAGGCTCGCACTATCTAGTGTGGCTGAGCAACGCACTGTTGAGACTTCTCAGAGAGCTGCCCTTTTATTAGTTGCTTCTTTCACAACCCTGTCACATTAGTCTCTTAATTTGCCATTTACTGTATTTTCCAGATCAATGAACTCTAGCCTTTAATTTTTCTCCAGTTATTACAGCTTTCTTCTTTCTGCAACCTCCACATTATAATGCCTTATCGGGGGCCCAGTGCCTCCAGCTCAACTCTGGTATCTCTCTTTTGATAGGAGAGGAAGGCAAAGAATCCCTCTGACATCCGCACCTGTTCCCTGTGAACATCCACTTTCAGCAAAAACAAAGATAGAGAGATCAGGCCATTGTTATTCTTTGCCAATTTCACACACATTCAGTTTTATGTCCATTCTATTCCATTTTCATATAAATCTACATTTAGCTGCATTGTATTTAAATATATTTCCCCACAAAATATGCATCATCCTCAAAAATAAACACCTCTTGGACTGAAATAATAAGGACTTGATACTTTGTTCCATTAGGCTTCTTTCAATTGAAATTATAGCGTTTTCACTGTATTCCGTGAAGCTTATCCTCAAGCGCATACAATTTTAACCTCGGGCCATAGTTAATGCTGGCTGTTTTGTCCAGACAGTCTGAGTTTGAATATAGATCCTGCAGTCTTCCAGCTTCAGACTTTTCAGGGGTGAGGAACATGGGACCCTCCAGCTCCCCAGTCTGAGCCAGCATGGCCAGCAGTCGGGGATATTTGGAGCTGTAGTCCAACAAGAACTGGAGAGTCCCAAGTTCCCCAGCCTTATACAAATAGACTAGATAAGAAAGTGTGGTTGATAGATGAGTTCAGTAGATCATAAAACTTCTGAACATGGGATGATTCACTGGTTGCCTCTAGCAGTGAACTTCCGACTCAAGAAAGGGCCACTTGTTATATCCCACAGGCTCCATCAATTACATTTGCTTAATTTTATTGATTAAAAGGTATTTGATTGCAGCTATAGTTGCTGATGTTTCCTTTTAAATTAAATATATTTTTCACTGGAATGTGTTAGCACTGATCCTTTCTAATGAATGTGGGGAAAATAGTGGAAGACCACAGAATGAGAAGATGGATGAGAGGACAGTGGAATGGCAAGGGATAATATTAGCAACAAAGATTTCTAGCACACTTTTAAAATATGCATGCAAGGGGCATGGCTGAATATTTAAAAAGCATGGACTCATTATTGGACATTGGGTTTTGCTTATTATAGGAAGACTACATTCATTTTGATTTTCAGGCCACCTCCTCCTTGGAATTCCTGCCTAAGAATAACACTTATTTATTCATCTCTTCATTAATTAATTTTCTTACAAATTTTTCAAGTATGTCAGTTGTATTGAAAATCGTAGGCCTATGTTCATTGAGCTAAAAAGGCATTATCTTTCCATTTCAGTAGAAGAGGTGGAGGCCTTTTGCAAATACCCAAAAGGTTGGATCCAGATTTCAGCTGGATCAAGTATACTGTTGGAGTTCCTGCCATTGTAGCTTCTTCAATCCACTGAAAAGGCTAGAAAGAAGGCTAGGACATCCTGCTGAATGAAATGAACTGTGGTATTTGTGAGGAGGGGGTGACCCCTCCAAAGGATGAAAGGACATTCAGTGAGCAGAAGCCTTCCTCTTGTGGAAAGTGGCTTCCTCTTATGGAATTCAGGTCCTGGATCCAACCCTAAGTATTTTCCTATGACTAGATAATCAACCATCACTAGCTGTGCTAATGAGACACTTCTGAATCTGAGAAACACAACTGGTGAATTAGATGAAGACGTCCAGACTGACCTAGTTAGATGCTGAATTGTCTGCTCAGTCAGTAGCTGTGAAGGCACAGGCCCATGATCCTAGGTAGTAAGTGGACCATACTTTTTCTTTGCTGCATGAAAATAGCTCAACAGCCAGTCAAAATTGTCTGCAGTAGCAATAGCAGTGCTTATTTTTATTCTCCACTCACAAAAACTCGTAACTACAAATTAATACAACCAGAGTTCTGGCACTGGGTGAAATGCAACATTATATGTGAAGATTCCTTCTTGTGCAAGAGAACTTCCCCTGCCTCCCCAACCCACAGCAATCAGAACTGATTGCTTGGAACTTTCTCGTCTTCTCTTCTCACCTGGACACTTTGTGCTAGTGCTGGCAATAAGAGTCTAATTGGCTTCAATGGGATGGCACAAAGCTCCAATCAGTTTTCATAGCCATAAATGCAGTATGGCTATCCCAGCACAGCAAGCACATGCTGTGGAACTAGAGCACATTGATCCATACGAAATGCTGGAAATATCGCATTGTTTTCTCTGCATCAGCAGGCAATACATGTACGCATTGGGCGACTGTAGCTTTTACAGTAAAAGCACCCAGCTGGTGTTCCCACTGGATGTAGACTGGACCAATGGGAATGAAACAAAGTCTTTTTTTTGGGGGGGGGGATACAAAATGGCTGCCTCCCATCAATTTTTTCTAAGGAAGTCTAAGAGGCTATTGCTATTATTCTTGTCATCACTTATACATCCCTCCGTTTCTCCTTTTGCAAGGAACCCATGGCAGCTTACAAGGTTCTCCTCCTCTCCATTTGATCCTCACATCAACCCTGTTAGGTAGGTTAGGCTGAGAGACAGGATTGGCCCAGGGTTACCCAACAGACTTCATGATTGAGCGGGAACTGCAAACTGGGTCTCCCATTTCCCAGTCCAATACTCTAACCATTATGCCACCCTGACACTACACCTTGCCTCAGTTTCATCAGTGTTCAATCATCTGGCAGCAAATGGGAATGCTTTGCCTGCGACTCTTAAGCTTCCCCTTCTATCTTTTCTTAAAGTAAGTGGGGAAAGAACAAGGCCCTCTAGTACCTCATCTTAAATAATGATAGAAATACACTCCAGTTACAATTAATGGATTTCAGAGACAGAACCAGTGAAAACATCAGGGACAAATACTTTGGTTAAAACAAGCACTTTGAATTGTGTCCGGAAATGAAAAGCAAGTCAGTGAAGCTGTTTCAGAATTCGTGAGATATATTCTGAGTGACCAGTCAGGGTAGCAAATTAGCCCAGACCTCTCACAATGGCTATACCCGCCCCCACACCCCAATTATTAAAGGATGCCACAGTAACTTGAAGGGGAAGCATCTCTGGTCTGAGAAGAGTACACCATGTTACATCAAGTTTCCCTGGCTTTAAATGAGTAGAAATGATTGCACTGATGCTAGTTCTTCACTTCTCAGAATCTGGTTAACGTGGCAGGACAGGGAATGGAAGGGACTCAAATCTATATTTAAATATTGCAGAACTGTTTTTAAATGTCCATTCGAATGATTCCTTGCCTGTTTAAGCAATTGAGGCAATACCTAGGTGCCTAATGCCCCAAAGAATGAGTAATGAATTCTGCCTGCTAGCACAAATATTATACAGTAAAGTAGTATGAGAGACTGAAGATTGGATTTTCTCCTATTGATATGCCAAATTTTGAGAACTTCTTGTATATTCTGTTTGATTTTCCCTTATTGCTTTCTGAAGTATCATTTTCTAAAAAGTATTTTTAAATATATAATTGACTTTTAAGTACTAATGATTCATGGTTCAATAATATCAATTTTAAAAAATGATTTATTCACTTCCAAATATTTACATACTGCCTGACCTGCATAGCATGTCCAGGTGGCATAAAATAATAAAGATGAATGCAACATACCTAAATAAGATGAATGCAACATACCTAAAAATACTAAGGCAAACTGTCTGTCATGTTCTTTGATGCTAGGAATTATGAGGATTTGTTTCAGTTCATTTTTAACTAGAATTCACCATGCTAACAACTCCAGAAGCCAAATACAGATCCCAATACAAATTACAGTTGAAGTCCATACACCTTTGGGGCTGCAATGCAATTCACAGCAGGGAAAAAGCATTCATTTGTAAAACAAACCAACCAACCATATTTTGAAAAATGCACACAAATGCATACTTTAATCAGTGCAGAAAAAAATGTGCCTGACTGATGCATGCATATTTGGAAAAAGGTACATGAAAATCTGCCCCAATTTTCATATGAACAGGAAAAAATCAGTTATGCAATACAATACAGACATGAGTCAAAATGAGCCTTGAGATAGCATTTGGAGGATCTCAGCATGCTTGGGTTTCCCCAAGCTGTCCATCCCTAACTGCCACCAAGGTGATTAAAGGGACTGACTGTATACTTTAGAACCTGCCTTAACTGTTGGGGCAGGTGAAGGGGAGTTATGTTACACTATGCTAGGTAAGAGACTAGTTGGAAGCTGGGAAACAACATGAGAGACTGCTACCTCACCTGTTCATTTGAACATTGTATAAGTATGTAGGCAGGGGAAAGCCAGATTTAACATGCACACAACTGAGTGTGTATAGGTTCTCCCCCTGGGACCAAAAATGCTCAAAAGGTAGGCTTCCCAGTCACATGTAGGCTCCATTCAGACCTTCCGTTGATGGTCCAGAGTCAGAAACAGAGGTCCTTTCCTACATGTTTTTAGTATGCATCATGCACACATCATGGCATGAAAAAGGATCTGTTGGCTTTTAAGAAGCATTAAACATGGCGGTCATCTGAATTAAATTCACCCATTCCTGTCCATTTTAGTTCACTGATTCCTAAGATGTCGATTTTCAGCCTTGTCATCTCTTGTTTGACCACATCCAGCTTGCCTTGATTCATGGATCTTACATTCCAGGTTCCTATGGAGTATAGATCTTTGCAGCATTGGACTTTCCTTTCACCACCAGATACATCTGCAACTGAGTGTCCTTTCGGCTTTGACCCAGTTGCTTCATTCTTTCTGGTGCTACTAGTACATCTTATTTGTCTCTTGAGAAACCTATATGCGGGTCAAGAAGCAACAGTGAGAACTGGACATGGAACCACTGATTGGTTCAACATTGAGAAAGGAGTTCGGCAAGGCTGTATACTGTTGCCCTGCCTATTTAACTTATATGCAGAGCACATCATGAGAAAGGAGGGGCTAGATGAATCACCAGTTGGAATTAGGATTGCTGGGAGAAATATCAACAACCTCAGATATGCAGATGATGCCACTCTAATGGCAGAAAGTGAAGAGGAACTAAACAGCCTCTTGATGCAGGTGAAGGAGGAGAGTGCAAAA